ATATAATGTGTTTGCAAGATGTATAAATATATATTACCATAACGTATACAGAAGTTTATGTCTGTGCAACATTGTCAGATTTACCGATTCCTGAATATACCATTAATCAATTCTATTCAATCCTACTGCTTAATAAGACGTTTGTCTTGGCTCGAATTCAAAAGTCAATTATCAATACTGAATCGGTAACTTGGTTCGTAACTTCGGCAATTATTTCAGAAACACCTTAACGATTGTTCAGGTAGAGCTTGAATGACACTCAACGTCGGCAACCCACAGTTTTTGGCGCAGACTCACACTCCAATTTATAGTGAACAGCTCGGATGATTAACGAACAGTGAAGTGCTGTGTTTTATTGTATTGTTTCGAGGTCCTTATTCCTTTGTTTTCTCAATTAATTGTAGTCGCAATATAAAAAAATCGAAAAATCACAAAAGAAATTAATGACTCACAAAATAAATTTTGCTGTTGTGCTGAGGTCTCGAGTTCGATTCGAGGACTTCGATTATAATATGTATGTTTAGTATTTGATCAGTCAATCTAGCTCTCATAGTAAAAGCTCTGCTTAGGTTGAAACTAGATGGCGCTGTATGTCAGATGTCCGAAATATTATTCAATATTATATTATTTTTACTTAAGCGACTATAGTCTCAGAGCCGTTTTACAATACGATATTTGCAGCAACCCTTACCCGGTCTTCAATGCCCTAACCATTTTTACCTTCTTATCTTATAGCATCTGAAAACAATGACATTCAGGCAGGTGAGCAGTTTAAAAAGAAACCAACCAAAACCTTTTGCGATGTTGCACATTGCAAAAGGATTCAAAGCTGATGGTAATAAAGATGACTTTAAAGCATTGTTTTACTGTGTCATCATCATCATCAGCAACCTTCAGCAGTCCACTAGTGGACATAAATAGGCCTCTCCTTAAAAACTAGGTGTTGGCCTACTATACCATGCCAGCAAGACGCGTTGGTATAGGGTTTAGTCGCTCCCTTAGTCGGCTCTTCCGACACCCACGGGGTGGTGACACTCCGTATTCTTAATCCGTCACCACACTGACTTTTATTGTGTGCTATTATGGTATTACAATTCTGAGAAAATATGCCAAAATTGATATCAAAATCACACATCGTTCCACACGTCAAAATTTTCATCCCCATCATCTGGATAGTTGGCGCTCCGCTACTGTGCTCTTTTCGAGACACGTTTTTCCTCGCACAACCAATGTGTGGAATGGGTTATTGTCTGCGGTATTTTCGGACCGATACGTGAGGAGCGTACTCCTTCCTAAAAGGCCGGCAACGCGTTTGTGACTCCTGAGGTGCAGGCGTTCATGGGCAGTGATGGTCACTTTCCATCAGGTGACCCATCTGCTCGTCTGCCCTCATTAAGAACATAAAAAATAACTAAAATTAAGCCATTAAAATAAAATAAATTATCAACAAAATTTCGCTCTCAATAAATTTCCATTAACGATTCTAAAAACATTTGTGTCCCACGCGTTTTTGTCTGCAGTAAGATCCTACTATGTAATACCCTTCAGGCAAAGTATTTTGTTTTAAATTGGAGTTAGATGTGTTTAGACTAAATCACAAAAGAAAGTTAAGTTCTTTTTAAGTACTTTGCCTCTAGATATCTAAAAAAAACTTAACAATTTGTTTAGTACTACAATATTTTGTTTATATTACGCGTGTTGAAATAGTCTTTATCACCTTTTGTAAAATACTGCTTTTGTTTTCATGAACAATTTTATTATCGTCAGGATAGTATTTATATGATTTTTGAAACAATTTTAAATACATTGCAGCGAAATTACATCAATTTTATAAACTTACTAAATTTAGCTATGAAATCTTGACAATTTCAATATAATAGGTCTCATTAATTAAATGGACTCAGTACCCGCTGTATCGCAAGTTCGCAACTAGCACAACTTGTGAGTCCAAGATTTAGTGCGGCAGACGCCACGTGTTCGTAATGCCTATTACTTGCCACAACTTTACTCGTTGTATAAATTATTTACAACTTGATCGTGGTGTCATTTTGACAGTTACGCGGTACTCGGTAGTGTAAGGACTGATAATTTATGTATATCTCCGGGATAATTTTGATATTAACGCTCATTACAATAAATCAGGAATATTAGGGCCGATACCAAAATACGAAATCTAGTGGAATATCATTTCAGTTCAATTCTTTTGAATTGAGGCGTAACCTGCAATTAAGTTTTCTCTAAAATTAAGTTTTTTTTTTTTTTTTTTTTTTTTTTTTCAAAATTCAAAAATGGAATTCGTCGATTTTTTTATGTATTTTACCCGATTACTCGAATTGGGATATTTACGCTAGGCTATTGTGACTTCCAGAAAATTGACTTGAATGACTATCTACTATGTTTGTGTCATATCGATTATCACAGGAATAAAATATTGGTTTCAGTGACAGTAAAAATATGCATATTTTTAACGATTTTGAAACATATCCGCAATATAGTATGTGTCTATGTATAATTTATATGATAGAAATATTTTCATAGGCCGATCTACTGAAGCTCCCTTGCTTACAGCAATAAGTTGAGTAAGAGAAAATAACCACTCGATTGTACTAACGATGTCCGGCCAATTCTTCAAATCAAAGCAGATATATTATTTTGAGTGCATTTGATTATTTTATAACCTTGGTGCTGTAAGTGGAATAAGCTTAGGTGCCTAAAGCTTAGGTGCTCAATATAATTGGTGTGCCGGAATAATCCTGATTTTTTATTTTTTTATTTTGTACTTTTTATAGGGAAAATAAAAAGTCTAAAATACAAACGTTCTTGATTAAAATTAAAAAATAAACATAACAACCACAATAATAGCAACAGCTAAGGATGAACATCAATTATTTGTTACATAGGCCGGAGAACTTAACTAAGTGTATTTTTAGGCTTTACACAAAATACTAAAGGGCTATAGGTGAGTAGCATTCATTATATTTCTTCCCTTATTTCTATGGAGGATTATGTCTCCCACAAATAAAGAATACTGTGAAAGCTGGCTAAATCTTAATAAACGTGTTAGTTTTGCCTTCATTGTCAATTACCATGTATATATATCCTACAATCAAACGGGTGATAAAAATCTAAAATATCAGATATATTCATGCTCCAAAACCTTATGAATATACAGAAAATATTAATTAATCATCACTTTTACCGGAACTCTATCTTACTATAAAACGGATGCAACAATACAACAACATAGTAGGTAGAAAACTCATACGAAATGTTATTATAATCATGAATCAGACTGTGACCATTCGTACTTGGAAAACAAGACAGCGTTATCACTCTGATAACACATTCTTTATGCTAGGCCCTTTATTTTAGGTTAGTTGCAAGATATTAGACTGTAATCAACAGCAAATGATAAAACAGTACATATCGTGTATCGTTATTTCTCAGAATTAAAGTTTACACAAAGGTTAGAAAATTATTAAAAGAAACGGGATCCTTATACACATTCAGAGATATAAGAACGTAATCGTAATATGTATTTATTTAAGAACTTTCTGAGCAGGGTTCAAACCCGACATAGGCAATGTCATAATCGAATGGTTCAGCACCAAGACAAGTTAAATTTACAAAATATACAGAAGTCCTTCTGTTATAACTTCTTTCTTTTTTAACTAAAAGAACTTCGAAAATAATTCAACAATGCAATTGGATAAGAATATTGTTTTTCATGGTATCATCGTTTTCGTGTTATTTGCTAAATTTTCTTTATAGGAAAATTTAGAGGACGAAAAATACAAATAGATACTATTAGATGTAAGAATAAAATGGACATAACTAATCTGAATTGGCAAACATGATTCTTGTTTCAAATAAACAATTATTTTACATGTATCATTTAAGATACGTATCAGATTAGTTAGATGCGACACTCAAAGAACATGGCTGTACCAAAATATAATACAAGAGAGTTGATTGAATAGAAATGATATAAATTTCCTATTAAATCTACATAAACTTTGTCATATAGATAAATTATTTTGAGTAAAAAACTAAAATTTTGATAGTAAGGCTTTGTGTATATCTATTTCAGTCAGAGGTTATTCCTAAATGACGTATTTTTTTGGCTGTCTAGAAGTTAATTGATAGTTGTTAATAATATGTTGACTAATAGCTGAAGGAATCAAATTTATTTTACTTTTAACATCAAAAGCTACCTAAAGACAAAGGACAACCGAAATAATATATAATAATAAATGTATTAACTTTATCATTTACATGTATATTGCATAACTCAACTGAGAATTCTGTATAATCTGTGGTTTTTCAATAATTTTTTCTCAAAAACTACGCATCATAGCATGTTAAAAGTTTGTGTGTGTGCTTATAATAATAACATTTCTGTAAAAAATTTCAACCTCCAACTCGACGAACGTCAATGGAAAGTCGAACTAATATATATATGTATTATGATATTTACAATAATAAATAAAAACGAACATGAAAGGATAATTCGAGTAAGATATATAAACACATTTATAAATATAAGCATATAAAAAACCCTAATTTTGATTGTTACAGATATATCAGTCCAAATTCTTACTTTATTAGATTATATTATAAAACGTTAAAGGCTGGTAATACTGACGTTTGCCGCGTGCTAATCGATTCCCAACATGGTGACTCAGATATAAATTAGTAACAATGACTCATATGTACGCGCCTTTACAATTTCTAGGTATATCTTAACATTTAATATACACAATAATTTCAGGAACGCACACATACATGTTGATATATCACAATAATTTACATTTCGCGTAATTGGAACACGAACACACGAAACATGAGTCACGTATAAAATCAAGCTCATACAAAAGAACCTCATTTCGAAAACTACAAGTAAAATATTCGCAAATTAACATTTTCGAGATCAAAGCAAATGCTGGTTCATAGTATGAAACGGACGCTTAAACAATGATTTCAATTTGCGTTGTACTCACCCACAGTACGACATTGAAGCAAAACAAAGTGTATTTAATACAATAGATATTAGACTCCAGTCTGCCGACGGCCGGCCCCTGCCCTTCGCCTCTGCCAGCTCCAGCCATCTCACAATAATAACACTTTTAACACTTAACACTTATAAAAACTGTATAATTGAATAAGTAGTGTCCACTCACTCTGTTGATGAATTCGAAACTGATGAGTTATCAAGCCAGATAAGCGTTAGCTAGGTTATCTATGTTTGCTAAGATAAAAAACATAGGTACCAAAAGATAATAAGGTATGAATTGCCACACCTTTAACAGTAGTGGCACGCATGCGTTCCTCATTGCCATTTGATTAGGTTTTTTTTTTTTGCATTCGTTCAAATTTTCATTTCGTTTTTCACAGCTACCCCCAATTTTCTATAAAATCCGAAACGTAGTATGTGAATAGATATTTTTATCTCAAATAAATAAGCGTCTTTCTATATTCATAAGGGAGAACGATCTCTGCCATTTGAATATTCTTATTGTATCCTCATTCGTAGCGATTCTTTTCTTAGCGGTAATTTTATAAGGGTACCCGACCACGCTTATATATCAAGTCCACCGATATGGGATTCGGCCGAAACGTGTTCGAAATCCGATAAACGGATTCAAACTATATAGGAAATGGAAGCAGCCGGTATAAGCTGTAAACATAAATAAGGAAGATCTACTACATTTTAGAAAACCCCCACGCATGGAGCGTGCACCGTAAATCTTACACTTGCAATGATATAAATTTTAGTATTCCGTACAGTATTTTGTAGAAGAACGATGTACGAAAATACTTTACCGTTCATTGACCTGTAATTTTGCATTTATATATATTACTACTATAAATTATTTTAAATAGTCTATGGTTCTATAAACGTTAGGGTATTAACACGATTATCTGATACGTATTACATAAATATCAATAGAGTTCTCATTCGGAACAGGAAACTAAGCAGAGCTTAAATACTTTTTTTTTGTAAATACATACATATGTATTATACATAGAAAACACCCAAAATCCGAAACAAATATTTACAGACCATACAAACATTTGGTCTGACCCGGGAATCGAATCCGAGACCTCAGTACCGGTGGCACAGTCGCATACGCTACTTCTGCACCACCGAGGCGGTCTGTGCGAGTTCTGTTTACATGTATGACACAAAATTTACATACTTTTTTTGTGATATGACAAAGACAGCCCTAATTTCTATATACTCTACAATTGTAGTACTTTAAAATTTATTTATTTTTCAGCTAGGAAGTAGTAACAATACTTTTTCGAATCATTTTAATTAGTATTAATATATTTTCACATTGCAAAAATACCGCCTAAGACAATATTTAGAGTAAAAATATTACCTCTTCTTATATATAGAGAGAATTTACCAAGCAATATAAGACACAGATATAAGATAAAAATTTCTTTAAAATAACCTTTTTGAAAACCTCCTTAGATCTTCAGCTCCATGGGAACGCCATCACTGTGATGTAGGAGTATGTGGTGTTTTCAATAAAAACCATTCCTACAGGCGGACTCAGAAGCCCTGTTTTGGGAAGAATCCGGAATCTTTAATCTAGCCTCGAAAGTAAATTGACTCAAATGACCTTAAATTTTACTATCACAAAAAAATCTTAGGTTGGGTAGATTTTACAAAAACTAGAATATCTCAAAACATGTCAAATAATATGCGGCCATTTTAAAAACTTCTTGCATCTCTTATTGTACACAAACAACAGCATATACCGAATACCATAGACGTAATGATTTGTATCTAATCCTATAAAAAATAACATTATGGTTTGTATCTAATAATCTTAATGATCGTTGGTATCTACTTTATTTACACAGCCGTGGCAAAATGAGGAATATCCCTTTTCCGTTCAAGACTGGGGTCCATTTCCTCGGCATAACAACGAACGTCGAGGCGGAAGGCGCCCGTAGCTTATATGAGTTCTTCTATTGCGTCACAATGCGCTTCTACCAAAGCAACAAAAGCTCCGCCATCCCTGTCTTCATTAAGGATAAAAGTCGACAGAGCCATCTTTTCAAACCCTGCGGAGCTCTACTTAAAATTGACATCTTTGTAAAGAAACATAATACTGTACTGTTATCGCTTCATTTGTTACCGTAATAAGTTGTGATCCACCGACGTTTGATATGTTTCTTATTGGAGGAAATGTCAATATCTGACATGAATGTATTCTTCACAACATAAATCTGTATCAAGTGAAATAAATAAAATTGTCTGTATATTTTTCCTTAGGCCACTCCTGTCAAATTTTTGACATATATGTGTATGAGTGTCCTCATAAACTTAAAGCTCATATGACACTCATTTTATGTATAAAGCCTTGCGCTGTTTAAAAATGTCACTTTTTCATTATGAGGGTAACATAATTAAAAGTGTATTAATATATGTAGAGCTTATTAAGGGATTGAACTGAGCAGCGATGGGATGTATATTGCTTATGGTAATACGGTAAACAAAAAATAAGTAATGGAAATATCACTCAGGGACATGATAATAAGTTCTTAGCATTCATAAAAAAGAAATGATCAATCAACTTTTAGTGTTGGTGTTATAGTAATGCAATTCATACTCACAAGAAGTCTCACATCAAGGCACTATGAGTAAATCACACGAAACTTAGTCATTGCTAGCAAACGTCCTTACTTGTAACCACTTTATAGGTAGTCAGGTGTGAGATAGGAGAGATTTGTTTTTGAGAAACAGTCATGCATTACATCTTCTATCTATACATCTATGTATATAAACAAATATAATTGAACTGCCTTGAATCATTTAATGTTTAAGGTCACACCAGCTGTTGGCGTGGCGAATAGTTGCTAGGGAATGCGTCGCCACGACATGTGATAATATAATAATATGTGACATGTAATACGGCGTGGCGACAATATTTTTCTTTAAATAAATCTAAATGTTATATTTTTATTTTGTTAATAAGCTATCTTTTATACTCATTATTTGTACATCATAATTTCAACTTTTTATTTAATGCTACAAGAGGTAAACGTGCAGATTGTTCGAACACCTGCCGCTCACGTCTTGCCGTGTGTTTGCGTTGTCGGGCTTTGAGTGTCGGTTTTCTGTGAAGTGTGTGTGTGTCACTCCGGTCAAGCCAGCCCATACGAGTATATGCATGGCGCTCCCACCATTAAGTAAGCAGGTATATATCTGCAATGGCAATATAAAACCTTGTAATAATAACAAATGCATGATTTACCAGGTATATAAAAAAAATCATCATCTAAATCCTCATCCAATTTATGGTTAACACAGTTACACATCAAAAGGTATTGAATGGTTTCATACGTGGATGGCTGTCGGCATAATACAATGCTCCTTGGGATTTATATCGTGTTCAGACAGGATAATAGGGGTAAAGGAAAAGAATGGCCAGGAAACTTGGGTGAGAAATAATTCGTATAATCGTGTGTGCATCCTGTGATGATGCGGAAAGGCTACTAGGGACTGCATTGATGCGGGTAGGCGCTAGGAGGGGTCCGGATATCTTAATAACAGCAGTTCCCGGATCCCTCCTATTTCAGGTGCAGAGTGGCACACCTTGTGGTTTTAGTCGAACCGATTCCGACATACTGCCCCCCCGCAAACCCCGGCGGCGTGAAGGCCTGAATGAACTTCTTCGGGTCGTGACACTAGAAATATCCTGTGTCGCGAGAAACTTTACATACACACATGAAACGGACATAAACAACACCCAGACTCAGAACAACAATTTGTGGATCGCACTAAGTATTGTCCTATGTGGGGAACCCACAACACTCAGTGCAGTAGGAAGCGGCGAGGTGACGGCTTAAGCCACAACACTAGCAGTCAATCGACCGATAAAACCGAATAATAAACACATTTTAACGAAAATTGCATACAAATACAAATTGAAGACCTTTAATAACAATTTATTAAAAATAATCTTTATTTTTTTTCTTAGAACTATGCATTAACACGAATTTGCTGGAAAAGATAGAAGTCTAAAAATATTCAAAATTGCAAATATATACATATATATCCCTGAAAAGAAAATACTAACTAAATTACTAGTGAAGTACTAATTAAATAGGTCATAGTCACAAAGGCCCATATTTGAACCAGCTGAGTAAAGTGCGTCAAAGAACTAATAGAAATTGAATCCAGCGCATTCTTCCACACATCCGGACAAGGGTAATATCCGGCGAGGAATGTTTATAGTCAACAAACATGGACTTAGAACAAACAGATCCAACTGTGAGCCCTCAGCTTAACTTTCACTAATTGTTTGCTAGCCAACTTTGCTACAAATGGTTGCTGATATTCGCTTTACGAGTAATCTACGTTCAACGTTGGTAAATTACTTTATATTTTGTCTACAAAGAGAATAAAATGTTAGCACTGAAAGGATTTTAATGAACTTTAGTAGCTCGTAGATGCCATCTTAAACATATTTTAATTATTTTTATAAGTTTTCTGTAATGAACGATTGAAGTTTTGATGGTGCAGACGAGTCACCCGATTATAAAAGACCTGCATCTAAAGAAATATACTCACACTATATACTTGTTATACTTAGACATATATGAAAGCGATTTTACTTTTTTCCCTATGAAACATCATATAGAGAAAAAAACATATTTTAGTATATACTATAGTAGATATTTATTAGAGCGGACTAAGACAGAAAAGTACGTAGGACAACAGCACTGCAAAGAGAATGAAAACTTGGAACAAACCCTATACCAACCCGTCTGGCTGGCGTGGTATAGTAGGCCAAAACCTCCTTTCTAAGAAGAGGCCGATGTCCAGCAGTGGACTAGTAAAGGCTATTGATGTGAGGTATTTATTTACCCAAAGTATTAGCATCAAGGTCCCTTTGAATTTTTAATTGGAACAAGATTTGTATGCTTTCTTTGTGCCTAACCAGTCAAATCAGAAAGTATCAATTGGCCTACGTTTTATCACAAGTGTCAATCCAATTCGATAGTTTACGACAAACTACGACGCGGTTTAGTGGTATTTCATTGAAATGGTACAATTTATAAACTTTTTTATTTGCAATCTTTAATTACGTACGATAAGGGCTTTTGCTAATTCAATAAAATTTTAATTATGATGCTTGCATTGTCACTCAATTTAACTGATATCCACTTTTCTGTTGGGCTAGTGGTTAGTAGCCCTAACTGCTAAGCCACAGGTCGTGAGTTCTATTCCCGCCCACGAAAAATGATTTTATGTATATGAGGTTATTATTATTGTTCACGAAGTACTTTGATGGGTGAAACTTCCACAACGGAATATTAACTAAAAACTCACTGTGGTTTCAACCGCCATCGGGTCCATCATCATCATTGGACAGCTGGACATAGGGCCTATCCTTAGGAGGGAGGTTTTGGCCTGCTATACCACGCTGGCCAAATGGGTCGGTATAGGGTTTGTTTTAAGTTTTTCTTCTCTTTGCAGTACTGTTGTCCTGCGTAGTTTGATCCCTTTGTAGGCTCATAAGATACCTATGGGATGGCGACACTCCGTATTCGTAATCCGTCCTCACATAGATACTTAACCTTACACTACACTGATAGCTGGAATATGTAAGAATCTGGTCCATACATATCGGTAATAACGCGTGCGATCTGCGTAGCATTGATACCATAACAGAGCTGAAATACAAAAATTATAAATAAACCACTTTCGAACAAAAAATAATTTTGAAAATCCACCTAAATTGATAACCTCCTCCTTTTTAAAGTCGGTTAAAAATGACACGACTTTACAAATTTTCTAGTGTCATCTACAATTATAAATAACAAATAACATTTAAAAAAAACAAACAAAATATTTTTATCAACAACAATATTTTTGGTTATTGAGTAAACACGTTATACAATGCAGAATATGTGAGGTATCTAAATTTTTTACGAAGAACAAATTAATAAGGAAAATGTTTTTAACATCTGACCGACAACGCCATCTAGTTTCAACTAAGCAGAATTTGTACTATGAAAGCTTGATTGACTTTATACATTGATAATATTCTTATATCTTTTTTTTGTGAATACATACATATTATACATAGAAAACACCAAAACGCCGAAACAAATATTTGCAGATCATACAAACATCGGGTCCGACCCGGGAGTCCAACCGGGAACTCACCACAGCAGTATACGCTACCACAGCATCACCGAGACAGTTAAATTGACCTGGTTAATAACTGCTACTAACCAATCGAATAAACTATTTCTGTACTAATATAGAAAACTAAAAGGAGCACGGCTAAAGTTTTTGAATATATTAAATACAGATAGAACAGAGACTCCGGCTAGGAATTGATTCGCAGATTTTACTCGAACTAATCGGATTTATATTGCGAACGATTTTGTAAATCCAAAGAAACGAACTTAAAACCACCGAGGACGTTTCTATTGAAATTAATACTTCGGTTAAATAGATTACCATTTTCTTAAAGGATTTGCAGGCTGAAATTCTGAGATCGTTGGTGAGCTGTCTTCAATATCAATTTCTCCACTTAAATTGAGCTTTTCACGAAGGTAGAAAGCTATTTAATTTGATTTCATATCGTATTTTATACAATATTCACATTATTATTCAAAAGTATAAACCTAAGTATTAAATAAGGGTTAGAGCATGATTAGGCATGGTGTCAATTCGGGGAGGGCCGGAAATAACATGGTCCGGGTCCAACCTGAGGCCTATGTTGATTCAAGTAATATTGATGTCACAAATGCGTTAGCTACTTAAGTCTGAGTGTTCTTTGTGTCCGTTTCATGCATGTAGGTACAGTCCCCCACGACACAGGATATACATATATCCCTAATGCGGGCGTTGTCTTAATATAAAAAAAAACAAACGCTAAATTGTTGAACTAGAAGACACAGAGGGTACCTCTTCTAGTTGAAAAATTTAGCGTAAATAGCATTAGATTCTGTACCAAATTAAAACACTTATTCAAATGATGAAACTGCTATCTCTTGAAAAAATATTGAAGACCAACATTGCGACCAAAAGGAATTGTTTATTATAATTTTAAATAAATAAACCTCTAGAAAAGTAGTCTACAATCAAAATAAATTTCCTCTCCTTTACAGATAAATTATTTC